AGAAGTGGAGTCCTGATTCTCCACCTAGGGATTGACACGCTCTTGCCAAAGGAGACAAGAGGGCTAGCCACACAAAGACAGGAAGAAGACTCCAGCCAGTCTCCGGGGAGAGGCAAGGCCCTGCCTTAGCTCTCCAAAGCACAAGGAAAGGCTGAAGATAGTGTTGGGGACAGATGGCCACAGGTGGAAGGGTGGGACAGATGGCCATAGGTGCTGGGGTAGGACAGGGAACCGCAGGTGATGGGAGGGACGGCTAACCATGCTGGCAGGACGTGTGTTTTGCTGAGGTCTGGAGTTTGGCGGCCTCAGTGTCACAGACACAGCTGTGTTGGGTCAGGGTTGTGATCCTCTCCGGCCCCGCCCTCCAGCATGCAGTGAGCCACTGTCTCAGGCACAGAAGGCAGATGAGAACCCTGTCTAGCATCACCCTCAAACAAGTACCTCTTCCCCCTCAGGAAGGACGGGAGTACTGTCACAGGCTGCAGGCACGTGGCCAAGGGACGGTTGCTGGGTCTCCCTTGCCTACATGGGATGGCAGTCAGCAAGGGGGTCCAGAGCCCACAGGCAACACACCCTCATGGAATGCTCCAGAAAAGCCTAGAAGACTAAAGGTCTTTTCATGCTGATGACAAACACAAGGGGGCCTCCAGGTCCTCAGAGTTATGCCTCCAGCTCCCCTTCTCTCTGTACAAAGGGAGCCATCAAATCTGGGCTTCTCTTCCTCTCCCTGTGTTCCAGCCCCTCCAGGGGAAGCACAGAGCGAACAGTATTAGTAGACTCCTGGAACAGGGCTCTGGAAGACGGGCATTTCCACTTCATGCCTCAGACAGAGAGGGGGGTGATAAACAGAAATGGGCACCTCCTCCAGTGGGTGTCATCATTTCTGTCACCTGTGATTCCCTGGCTACTTGAGTCCTCAGACGTGGGCAGGGACAGGCTCAGATTCCTAAGTTAGTGTCCTTACGGTTGCAGGTGTGTCCGGAGAGAGAAAACGCAACACAGACTTCTGCAGCCTCTGCTGTGGTCACCTTCGCTCCACAATGTCACTGAGAGTGCACACACAGGCTCCCAGAACCCAGGAGGACCTGGCATTCAACCTGACCATCCTGGCCCTCACCGAGCTCCTAAGTCTGGGTGGGCTGCTGGGCAACGGGGTGGCCCTTTGGCTGCTCAACCAGAATGTCTACAGGAATCCCTTCTCCATCTATCTCTTGGATGTGGCCTGTGCTGACCTCATCTTCCTCTGTTGCCACATGGTCACCATCATCCCCGAGCTGCTGCCGGACCAGCTGAACTTCCCGGAATTCGTCCACATCAGCCTGCTCATGCTGCGATTCTTCTGCTACATCGTGGGCCTGAGCCTCCTGGCGGCCATCAGCACCGAGCAGTGCCTGGCCACTCTCTTCCCCGCCTGGTACCTGTGCCGCCGCCCACGGTACCTGACCACCTGTGTGTGCGCGCTCATCTGGGTGCTCTGCCTGCTGCTGGACCTGCTGCTGAGCGGGGCCTGCACCCAGTTCTTTGGCGCACCCAGCTACCACCTGTGCGGGATGCTGTGGCTGGTGGTGGCCGTTCTCCTGACTGCCCTGTGCTGCGCCATGTGTGTGACCAGCCTGATCCTGTTGCTGCGCGTGGAGTGTGGTCCAGAGAGGCACCAGCCCCGGGGCTTCCCCACCCTGGTCTTGCTAGCCATCCTCCTTTTCCTCTTCTGCGGCCTGCCCTTTGGCATTTTCTGGTTTTCCAAGAACCTGTCCTGGCACATTCCCCTCTACTTCTACCACTTCAGCTTCTTCATGGCGAGTGTGCACAGTGCGGCCAAGCCTGCTATCTACTTTTTCTTGGGCAGCACACCTGGCCAAAGGCTGCAGGAACCCCTCCGGCTGGTGCTCCAGCGGGCACTGGGGGATGAGGCTGAGCTGGGGGCTGGGAGAGAGGCTTCCCAAGGGGGACTTGTGGACATGACTGTCTAAGCCCGGTGGGTCACAACTGTAGCTCCAGCCCATGGGGGCCAGGGGAACTGCCTGGTATAGGTAAGAGCTGGGATCAGAACTCCATCAGTCAGATCCTGGAGGAACATCTTTGCTGATGACCCAGTCATGTGTGCCCTGGGAGGATGCTGGGAAGGGGCAGACAGAGGGTGATGTTTTTGCGGAGGGTCTGGGATTGTGCATATTAGGCAGAGCTCCAGGACCACCTCATGACAACTGCTTCCACAGCCACCCTTCCCCCATGGCTACAGCAAGAAGAGATAGGCCAGTCATAGTGGTGGGTGCCTGTTCCTCCACTATCAGCATCCTCTTAGCTATAGAGTGTGGAATAAATGATGCTGAAATTGGATGATTGGTTAGGTATGAGGGAATAAGTGGCTCTGGAGTCCTCCATGGTTGAACTACAGCAAAAGACATCCTCCTGGCCCCATACCATAGCCAGAGATCAAAGCCTGTCAGGGACCAAGCAGAACTGGCACAGGCCTGCTAGCTCAGCTGTCTGACAAGCTGCAGTGGGGGGAGCAGGGTTGTAAAACCAAGGCCTGCCTGAGCTACATCTAGTTTCAGGGGAATCTGTCTCTCCCTCTTTTGGCTTCTGCAGTCAATTCATGGATGTGGTACACATACACATACACACACACACGTGCACACATGGGCATGTGCAATGAAAACAGAGTTCAAGCTTGTCTTAAGCTAAAGGGGACCCATCTCAGAAAGCAAAGCACAGAGGGGGATGTGTAGGAGAGAGAGCACTGGATGATGCCAACCTCACCCAAAACTTCAGACAAGTTGGTGGTCCTGGGTCTCAATCTCAAAGAGAAGCTCTCTGTGGGCAACAAGGCCCCTCTCAGCTCTGGCCACACCCAAAGCACCTTTGCCTAGCAGGACAGAGCTTCAGCATCCAGACTGCTCCTGCCTCCTTTCCTGCCCCCACATGCTACCTCCTCATTCCTACCCCATCCTGGACAGGATCTACTTAGCAGGGTTCCTCTGAGGAAGCAGCCTGGCTGCACCCCACAACAGATGGTTGAACTCCTGCCTGGCCAGGGGCACAGAGATGAATGGAAGCCCACCAATCCAGGGACAGGTGGCTGGGAGCCAGAGCTTGCCACCACCCATGTCACTGCACTAACGCCACCCTTACATTTCTGCTCCCTCACGGAACCTAGTCAGTTGATTTACACACACACAGTGTTTGGAGTTGTGTCCAGGATGTCCCAAGAGGATTTTATTACATCATCAACACTTCAGGCCCACCTCCAAGATGTGCTGGCCTCCTTTGACATCTGAGTGGGTGTAATTCTGACTTGGACCAGGCCCACAGATTGAGGGACATTTGGTCTCTGTCATGATTAAACTTGTACCCAAGTCTGGACAAGGATAGCAGAACCCTGCCTGGCATCCTGGAATTGACGACTCACCCCATTCAACTTGCGTTGGGATGCATCCTGCGTCATGATGTCTTCACCTCAGATGCTCTGGCAAGTCTAGATGAAGGGATTCCCAGAAGGCCAGGAGCTTTCAGGGGCTGGTCCTCCTCTTCCAAAGAAGTCCCTTCCATCCCCCATGAGGTCCTTCCCTGTCCACCTCTAGGACAGAATTCTCAACCTCGGTTCTTCAGCTTGGGGAACAGAGAGCGTGAAGGGAAGTAGCCTCTCCACAAACCCAGTTTTCGGCCTCTGGACTCCCACTTCTCCCCGGGGGAAAGTCCAAGCCAGCCTTCCAGGTGTCTCCCCAGCTATGCATTAGCCCAGAGCCTGTCCATGATGCTGGAAGGCCCTTCTGCGGCCCTGAAGTCCAGAGAGGCCCATGTCTGCTTAGGACAATCCTGAACATGGAACAGACTCTTTGTTGATCTCCGAGTTAGCTTCAGCTGTCAACTTGATGTAGTATGGAGTTATCTGAGGGAGTCTCAGGGAAATGTTTTGGTCAGGTTGGCCTGTGAGCATTTTCTTGATTGCTAATAGATGCGGCAGGGCTCAGCCCACTGTGAGCAGTACCACCCCTAGGCAAGTGGGTCTGGGTTATATAAAAAGCTAGCTAAACATGAGCCTGGGGGCACGTTGGTTCGTTAAGCTCCATGCTTCCTACCTCAGCACCTGCTTGAGTTCCTGCCCTGACCACCATCACCGTCACAGTGATGGACTGTGACCTGGAAGTCTAAGCTGAATAAACCTTTTCCTCCCCAAATTGTTTTTAGTCATGGTATTTATCAGAGCAACAAAAAGCAAACTAGTACATACATTTTCTGTCTTGTTGGACCAGAGCTGGCTGGAGTGTCATAGCCCACCCTAGGTGCCCATGTCTCTTACACACTCAGATCCCGTAGCCACCCCGGAGTACAGACATATCAGGGACTCTCGGGATACACCCTTCCTCCCAGATTGGTTTGGAACACTTCAAAATTCTCCTCTGGACTTCATGTGTAGTGGGCTTTTCCCAAAGATCCCCAAATGCATATATGAAACAGTCCACTCTACCACCCCTACGGTGTGTGTGTGTGTGTGTGTGTGTGTGTGTGTGTGTGTGTGTGTGTG